GATGTGAATTGATTCTCTCATCAGGGGGAGTTAATACGCGTTGTACTCTTTTTCCCTTACAAGATTTTGTCACACTGGGTTTTCCTTGCAAGGTTTTTAACGAGGCAACCAAAAGCCGTATTTCTAAACATGTGTACTCTTTTTTCTTCACTAGGATTTTTTTTCCATAGGGTTTTCTTCCTAATAAGGTTTTAACGAGGTACATTATCTATGGACATCCAAGGGGGAGTGTTATAAGAAAAATCAAATTATAATTGATGTATACTCTTCCTCCATGATCTTCTCAAATGCTTAATGACATATTTCTATGCTTAATGACATATTCAATGACATATTTTTCTTCACTTTTTATGCCTATATAAAGGCCTTGTAATAGATAGGAAAATACACACAATTGAAGAAGAAATAAAAATCTCTCATCTCTTTCTCTCTGTATCTCTTAGCTTGTTTTTTTCTTGTTCTATATTATTACTTTGAGTTATATTTATAACAGTATTCGTTAAGATACCATCACATTAAAATATTTTTAAACTATAATACATAATTATTTAACTAACATGACAAAATTGATCATTTGTGTAAGTTTTGATGATGTTCTTTTATTTTAAATTCATGTATTATGCAAATGTAATAATATTTTTCGGCAGTTAGATGATTGTTGTATTATTAAACATAAAATTTCTCTCATTAATTATATTTTATTATTAATTTATATAAATAAATATTTAAATTATCACGTATCATTATTAACGTGCGTTCATAGATATTAGTTATGCGAAAAATATTTAAAGAAGAATAAGCCAACGGCCAACGGTAACATTGTGGGCCAACGAGGTCTTAATACAAAGAAATACTCCAGCCTGGAGCCTTGTAACGGGCCGGCATTACTATTTTTATCATTTATTCACGAAGAAAGAAAAAGAAAAAGAAAACTATATTAGGAAGAAAACGAAAATGGCGTCTCCTTTTTTGTGCGTATAAAACAGGTAAAGTGATACGTTAACGTGCTTCACTTTCTTCAATACTGTTCATTTATAATAAAAAGACATTTCTACCCTCATCAACGGTCGATCAGTGTCGGAGAAATTATCTTTTCCGATCTACTTATTTCCCACTTTATCGCTACTCCGTAACTCTATAATTCCTATTCTGTCCTTTTCCGTTGCCGGAACTTACATTATTCAATGGCGGAGGAATTTGTGAAAGCAGTTGAAGACGGTGTACATCTATCGAAAAGGATATATTTTGGGAAGGATAGGGCGGTGGCGCCGCCGAAGCCGATGACGGCGATGGAGAAGGCGTCACAGTCATACCTGCCGGAATCGCCTATGCTGTACGCTGTGATTAATGATCCTGCTATAGTTGATAATCCGGATATTCCGAGCTACCAGCCTCACGTGCACGGCAGGTGCGATCCTCCTGCTTTGATTCCTCTTCAAATGAACGGAATTTCACTTGAAGCTGATTGTTATTTGGATAATATGGCGTTCATTACTGTCACTGGATCATGGCGTGTGCATTGCGTCATGGGTAGCCGTAGCTGCGACTGTCGTATTGTCGTTCCTATGGGCGAACAGGTTATTCAACTATGTTTCTTCCCCCTTTTTCCCCACCTAAAAGATATGTTCTCTCATTAATTTTAAGTATTTTTACTTCTGAGTTAACTAGGGAGTATAAAGTTTCTCTTTTTTGAATGAATGTGATAAAATATCTAATGGTAACATGGATAATAGGAATTCTTGTCTAATTAGGCTTTTATGAACTTTTAACTGCTTAAGAATATCTTTCAAGTGTTCTCTCTTAGTAAGACAAATATTACAGATTGCAGAAGCTGGTGGTAATATGCTCCATTCTTTGTGAATAATTTATTTCCTTACAAACGATGGGATTTGTAATGTTAACCTCTAATGATGCTGATGATCCTGATAAGATAGTTTTTTTTTTTTTAATTTATTTATAATTTTTTAAAGTAGCTTCAGATTTTTGTTAAGGTTGTACTTATATGTTGTTTGTTCTTTCTCCTCATGTGTCCTTTTTTGGGTTGAACGAGACCCTTTCTGCCTTTTTGTCCTTTTGTTGCGAGGAGATATGAACATTACTAAGTCAGTTTGATGCTTTTATGACATGAAGCAAAGAGGCAACACAAACTAGTCAGAATTAAGGTTTTGCTTTGTTGTAACACTTACATTAGGCCCGGTGTTTGTCAGGTAGAAAGTTGTAAATATGTGTAAGAATAAGCATGAGATTTAGAGAATCTCTAGTGTTAGAGAGCTCTTAACTTGCCTTGAAAGTCGTTATTTGTACTGGAATGAAACGGACATGAGTTGAGCCGAATGGACATAGAGGATTCATATAGCTGACCCGACTAATTTGGGAAAAAGGAGCAGTTGATGATTGATTGGTGCTTGATGACATGGAAGTTGTCAGCATGACACAGATCTGATCAACTGTAGTCTCATTAAATAAGTTGTCAGCATCATATTGATCTCATTAACTGTTGTCTCATTAAATATTTTACTTCTTATTCGTGATTGAAAAATATATTTTGCTTCTTATGTTAGATCCTGAATCCTCACCTTATGTTTTTTGTTTCACAAAAGTGAAACACTGCCGATTTTTTGTTCTCAAGTGATAAATTATTTGGCTAACAGGGTTCAATTCTAGGTGTCGAGGTTGAGTTACCCAGGAAAACATACTGCACTAAAATAGTTGCCATGGATGATGAAAGCGGAACAGAAAAGCTAGCCAAAATTGAAGATGGATGCTTTCTGACGCCCCAAATTTTTACCCTTACAATACCACAGGTAAGTTTCTCTCAGTGTCCTACTCCTATATAACCTGCTATCTTCTTCATTATTGTTCATTATAATGATGGACTCACCTCTTCAGGTGGATGGTGGAACCAATATATCTGTCTCGATTAGATGGTCTCAGAAGTTATTGTATAGCAATGGTCAGCTAACCTTGGACGTACCATTTAGTTTTCCAGACTTTGTCACTCCAGCTGGAAAGAAGATCTCTAAAAAAGAAAAGATAAAGCTTGATGTTAACTCTGGTCCTGGAACAGAAGTTATGTGCAAGACCACTAGTCACCCTCTGAAGGTGCTGCCAGTTATATATTCCACCGACTTATAATTTAGTGGTTGATGAACAACTGTGACATCAGGGTTCTTTTGTTTTATTTTTTAGGAGCGACAACGTCAAGCAGGAAAGTTGGGCTTCTTTTACGAATCTGAAGTCCTTAATTGGTCAAGTTGTAACTTTGTTTTTTCTTACATGGTAGGCCCTACATGAATTTTTCGTGATTGTTATATAACATAGAGCTTGTGGTTAGTTCTAACTTCCTGGAAAGTAAGGTCAAACGATTAGCCACTAGGGTACTATGTTGCTATTTTTCAGCTCCAGCAATTTAAAGTGAAATTTTCGACAAATCTGTTTATAATTTGGTCTGTGAGAATCTGTTTCATCCATCATCACTCTGTTTCCAGGTTTCGTCGACTCATATCTCTGGCAGTGTACTTTTGCAATCGCCCCCACTACTTGACACCGACCAGAGAGAGATGTTTTGCTGCTCTCTTTTTCCGGGAGACCAGCAGTGTAGGAAGGTCGGTACTTTTTTTCTTTCATTGACCTTTGCATTTAAAAGTTTCTCTCCAAAAGTAACTTTTAAAAAGTTTTGAAGGTAACCAATGAAAATCTGTTTGTTATTCTTCTACACTCAGCATTCATTGAATCGTACGATTTTCCATCTTTATGCCAGGTTGCTAGTTGCTCTTCCAGGCCACAGATTAAATTATCTTTCTAAAACATAGTATGACTGTGAGGTCGAGCTAAAAGATATTTACAGTTATTGGTCCATGATCATGCATATTCATGCCCGAATCACCAGATTAGTTAAGAAGATTACTTGATGAGCGTTTAACTTTAGAAGTTGCCAAAATAAGATATAACAAGTGTTAACATTTGTTATTTTCCATATTTAGTTGGGTTTTTATACTATTTGTGAAGGAAAGATCAATCAATAACGTCTACACCTGGAAGTAGGAAAACTTGTATGAATATTTCGACTTGTTTTTCCGTTATATATTTTCAAAATCTTTCTTATTGCTTAAGAAGGGCTGTTATATACGTGGAAGTGTCAATGCCCTTCCCTTACTTACTAAGGGAAATTTTGTCATTGTCACTTGAAATTTTCAATAGGTCTTCAGAAAGGAAGTGGTATTTGTTGTTGATATAAGTGGGAGCATGAAGGGAAAACCAATTGAGGATACCAAACAAGTGCTCTGTACGGCCTTGTCAAAGCTTGATTCTCAAGATCTGTTTAATATAATAGCTTTCAACAGTGAAAAGTACCTATTTTCTTCATCACTGGAATTGGCAACCAAGAAGGCTATTGAAAATGCAACTCAGTGGATTGGCACGAATTTTGTTGCTGGTGGCGGAACAAATATTTTGAATCCGTTGACTCAGGTCATACCCATTTTTGGATATCTGTCTCAGGTTATATTGTTCTTTCATCTATTTTAGTTGCATGTCACATTTTTGTAACTAATTAATCGTCCTGTCTTCTGAGGATGTCAATCTTCTTCTTTTGATGAAAAGCATGAAGAATGGAAAAAAAAAGATAACAATGTTATGTAAGCAAGAAGGTTATATTTATGAACAGAACTACTTTTTTTTTTTAAAATCTAATTATAATTTTATAAACCTACATGTTAATGAAATGCTTATTGTGCTCCAAACTTTTACATGGACTAGGACTTGGAGTCTGTCATATATATCATTTCAAGTTCCCCGGGTACTAGGAATGAGTGCTCTTAATGTTTTTTCTCTCTTTCGGTCTAAAATTTTTTTTCTTGAATAATGGTGGTGTCCGGGTCTTCTTGTACGCACCTCGACTATTCTAACGGGTACCGGGTAACTCTGCCCATCTACGTTTAGGAAGATGGGAAGAATTCACCTATCTGTTTTTGGGATTTTGAACCCTGGTCTCCAAGGTTTTCACCAACTTCATGTTGCAACCTTGCATGCCATGCTAGTTGGCTGGATTTCCAGCAAGTCCATGGCATATTGAAGCTATATATTCTTTTTCACAGCTCACTGTTTCTAGAATTTTGAGTTCATTATTGATAATGAAGTACTACTGAAATGATAGAACTTTATTGTTCCTGCATTTGTCTGACAAATCCAAGATAACACTTTTACCTTTATCAGGCCATGGAGATGTTTTCCTATACCCAGCAACACATTCCTGTTATTTTCTTGGTCACTGACGGAGCTGTTGAAGATGAAAGACACATCTGTCATGTTCTGAAGAGTCATCTGATGCAAAACCAAATGATATGCCCGCGGCTTTATACAGTAGGCATAGGTATGTAAATGGAAGAAGCATTGCCTCCGCCAAAGCTCCCCCAACCCAGATTCCCCCATCCCCACCCAAAAAAACAAGAGAAGTATTTTGGTAGATGCATTATGTTCTCTGTTTTCTATCTTAGCCCAAATATATGCACAAAAATCTTGCTAATACGAAAAAAATATTTTTCATTTCGTCACATTTTTTAGATGCGACCAAGCTTGGTAAAAACTTGGTTTTGTAGGTTGTGACTTTAAGGGATATAATCAGTTTATAAATCATGATAGTCTTAGGGAGTTTACATCTTTTCACCTATGTACTAGGCATCTGAATTGATTCATCTGTCCTTGGTGCAGTAGATTTATGCTCTTTAATAACCAATCTAACATGAATAATTTCAGGGTTGTTCTGTAACCACTATTTTTTGCGCATGCTTGCAATGATGAGTCATGGCCACTATGCCGCTGCTTATGATGTTGGTAAGTTGATTATTCTACAGCATTTTTCTTGTTAAATCTTTTTCCCAAATGAAAGCTCTTGCAACATGATTGAAAGATAGCATCATACTTATTATTTTTTTATTCAAGTATTATAATTCGTTTGATTTGCTTCAAGATAAATTACTTTTTGATTTGTACATGCTGAATAGGATCCGCTTTTACAACTTCTAGATCATTTTTTCCATTGTCTAAAGGTACAAAATCTTAGCAGTGGTCCCTTTATATACTCCGTTTAATGTCAAACAATTTTATATGAGCAATTGTGACAAGTCGAACTAAGACGCTAGGGTGGAGATAATTCGGTAACCTATCATGACCAGAAGGATGACATACACTTTTTATCTCAGTCCACTAATAGTGATTTGCCTAGAGAATGATTGTGTCTGTTCCTATTTGTGTGACCATGATGACAATGCTGTGCAGTTTTAGCTTCCTTTTTTATCCTTCCTGGGACCTGATGTAATGTTTTTGTTCATACTTATAAGTTGAGATGATCTAACATAGATTTCCTGCTTTTCCTGTGAGAAACTATGTGCAGTTGTGACCTGAAACTAATTGCCCTTCTCCCTTATGTTTGGTGGTCTTGCACAGATTCTATTGAAGTTCGTATGGAGCAGCTCTTCTCCAGGGCATCATCCATCATTCTTGCGAATATTTCCTTTGAGAACCTTGATGGTCTTGAAGAATTTGAGGTGCGCCTATGAGTATATATTATGTCTTTTAGTAATAGTTCTTGGATGGATCACAATTACGATAATTTTAAATATTTACCTAATAACAAATCTAATCAGTTACAAGATTCCGACGTCATTTTACAAGAGGCCTACAAATAATTTTTGAAGAATTGGATACAATACTACATGTAATATGGAAAAAACTTTAGTATTATCTGCATGCTTTGTTAATGGTACGCAGTTGAAGTTTGCTGTTTCTCCTATATGAATACATGCTTCCTAAGGAAACTACACAAATTTTTCAATAGGTGTTTCCCGCTCCAACTCCAGACCTTTCATCTGAGGGTCCATTAGTATTGTCAGGCAGATACCGCGGAGCATTCCCCGAGGTGCTTAAAGCTAAAGGAGTCCTTGCAGACTTGAGTAACTTCTCTGTGGATCTGAAAGCTGTTCAGGCAAAGGACATACCTCTTGATAAGGTAACACGTGTCTTTAGATATGTATGGATCACAAACAGTATGACTTTTACCTCGTGAATCTGCATATTTTCTCCCATGAGAAGAGCATATACAAAGAAAAGAATGATCTAAATGTCACTTGAATAGCTGACTGCCCTTATATGCCTGATGAGCATTCATGAACCTTTGACCGTTTGAAGGTTGTGGAAGACTTGAAGGTGGTCATGGTTTATTCATCTTTGTGCATGGGCGGTGGTTTTTAGAGCTTCAAATGACTACTGCGTCTTGTACTTAGTTCTATACATGCATCAATGCCTTACTGACGTTTTTTTTTTTGTTTTTGCATTTAACAGTTCAACTATCTTACTTTAGCTTATTTAACAAAAACAATTTAACTATACAACAACAACAACAACAAACCCAATTTAATTGCAATGTGGGGTCGGGGAGGGTACTGTGTACGCAGACCTTACCCCTAACTTGTGAAGATAAAGAGGTTGTTTCCGATAGACCCTCGACTCAAGGACAGCAAAGTCGCAGCAGTGTTGGGAAAAAAAATACGGTAGTGTAGAAGCGATAAAAAAAGAGGCAGTAACAATAGCAAGATAATACGATAATAAGACAGTGAAAGTACGAGAATACTATTAATACTACTGGTGAAGATAGAGAGGTTGTTTCCGATAGCCCTTGGCTCAAGGACAGCAAAGTCGCAGCAGTGTTGGGAAAACAAATACGATAGTGTAGAAGCCATAAAAAAAGAGGCAGTAACAATAGCAAGATAATACGATAATAAGACAGTGAAAGTACGAGAATACTATTAATACTACTGGCATGAAAAAAGAATACACTCAACTACCTAATAAACGTCTACCCTAATTCTCGACCTCAACACCTTCCTATCAAGGGTGTGGAGATCGAAAATTTCCTTAATTTGGCTGCTGAGAATTTTTTCTGGCTTTTCCGCTGCCTACTGAGAGAATACTGGATTTAAGAGGATACATTGATTCAATTGCCGCTGCCTGCTGAGAGAATACTGGATTTAAGAGGATACATTGATTCAATTGCCGCTGCCTGCTGAGAGAATACTGGATTTAAGAGGATACATTGATTCAATTGCTTTGTATGTTGAATGTGCAGGTGTTGGCGAGGCAACAGGTTGAACTGCTTACTGCTCAGGCCTGGTTGACTGAAAATAAGGACCTTGAACAGAAGGTTCCTACTATTAACTGGAACGCCTATTTGGAATGTTTTGATCTGATATTTTTGCCTGTGTAGTCTTGGCTTAGTCTTTTTGGAGTTCCTACGGACTAATCCTTCTTCTCCTATCTTGGCAGATAGCACAAACGAGTATACAACATGCAGTAATTTCTGAATATACACGCATGATATTGATGGAGACCGATAGAGGCAAAGTAGTCACTGAGTCAACCTCCAAGCGGAAGGTAGGGAACTTACTGATCAGAAGGAATTTAGTGTTTATACCAGATCTAACAGTTCCAATAAAAGATTATACTAGATCTAACAGTTCAGTTCAGTGTACTCAATTCTAACCTGAGTATCTGGAAATACATAACGATATGAATTCCCAGTTAAATCTCTATATTTTTGGCCGGTGAATTCCAGTTACTCTGTTGGCAGAGGCTGCATGGAGTCGAAAAATCAGTTCAAATAGCTATAGTCTTATTTTATTTGGCACATTTAATATGTGTTTTGCCAGGGATTTAATTGTAGTCACACCAACACCGAATTACAGAAACGACCTGAGTTGTGTAATATGCCGTGTAACAATGAGTTTGCCACAATAGATATAAGAATTTGGAATTGTGTATGTGATTTGAAAGATTAGCACCCTGTCGTATTCTTTCTTTAACCAAAGTTGAATGAAGCAGGTCTCCACTGCTGCTAAGAAGATTGAAGAACCTAAATTGGAGAAGAAAATACTGCTACAGAATCTTGCTGTTGGTTTTGGTAACTACAGCGCTACAGTTGAAAATATTCCTCCTGGAGCCTCTGAGACAAAACCCGAAACAGCAGAGATTTTAGCAAAGGCAGCATCTAACTGCTGCGGAAAGATGTGTGATATATGCTGTTGCATGTGCTGTATTCGAACGTGTTCAAAGATGAACGATCAGTGTGCAATTGTGCTGACGCAGTTTCTGGGTTCCTTGGCATGCTTAGGTTGCTTCGCTTGCTGTGAATTATGCTGTTCTGGAAATGATGGATGAGAGTTATAAAATAGTTTCCTCAGCAATCTTGTTGTATATTGTGTCAAATATGACAGAGTTATACGATTGTAATTAGTTTACATGTTCATGAGCATACTGTCAGTGTAGTCATTTAGTGTTTTACAGTTCTTTGTGAATAGTTATGTATTTATTTATCTAAGCAATTGGACACAAGTTTTGCCAATTGCTATACTGCAACAATGATGTTGAAATACGAGCAAGTTTGTTAGATTGAGAAGAAATACGATTGAATTAGACATGATCAGCAAAAATAAAACAAGATACCGAGACACCACATAAAATGTTTTCTGCACATGTTTAATCAGAAATACACCCTCGGAGGTGGTTCTTCCCACGTGCTTTTACGTTGGTTTGACCAGCTTTTAAGCCAATCCAAACACCCTCTTAAGCAAGCTCGAGTGCTTAGAGGGTTCAATAACGCTGTTACCCACGAACTCTATGCAATGTTTCTATGTTAGTATTTGACAGCAGATGAAGTTTTACTTTTTTCCGACGATGAAGTAAATCACCTAAAAGTAGTTACAGGTGACTCATTATAGAAGTCGTACAACTTAAAAGGAATTGCATCTCAGGAACAACAGGTGCACTCTATATAAAGGGTCCCCTAAAGGAAGGAAATCCATGTATTACCAATAAAAAGAAAAATAAATCAATTAACTACAAGAAATCCTGCTAAGTAAGAAGATGATCAAATCCTACTAAGAACATGATTTGAATACCTCAGTGACAATCTTTTGTCTTTCAACTTCCTTTGTCTCAACATATATACTATACCAGTTCAAGTTTTCCGCCTTTCATCTCGCGATATAAGCACCTGAGAATGAGATCTGTCGTCTCCTGTTACATTCTGTTCGTGTTCCTCAATCTTAATTTCCGTCTCCTGTTTTTCTTCTTTCTCGTCATTGACTGATATTTGGTGGAAAGTTTCTTGGATCTTTGTCATACCTTTCTCTACCGGTTCCATCGCCTGGTTTATGGTCAAAACTACATCCTTCACAACCTGTTTTATTGGTTTAGCAAATGTTGCAATTAGATATACTACTTCAAGAATAGATGATTTGTGGTGTTCAAATACAACAAAAGTATAAGTGCTGAAAAGGTCTTACTTTTTGACCACCTTCAACGACGATGTCCTGAACACTTTCTGTGACACTTGTCCCCGGAAGCTCAACCTTGGCTTCTATCTTTTCAACAACAGCTGGTTTCTCTCCGTCTTCTGATTTTAAAGTTGTTTCTGCTTTTTGGGCAGTAATCTCTTCATACACAGATGTTGGCACGAAATGATAAGGTTTTGCGGAGAAGACAAAAACATGCGCAATAGCAGCAATAGCCATCTGTAGAAATGAGAGTTAGCTAAATAGCAAGGAGGAGGAAATGAGATGCCTTATCCATATCTCAGGAAGGTCTTAGGGTGATACGTAACACTTGTTAGATAGAACTGAAAAACAATTCGATGGAATAAAAACACAGAGAATACTTGCCTCTATGCAGATCAGAAAATCTTGCAACCCGGTCTGGAACTTCCCTTCCTTCGGAAGCACTCTTAAATAACATATCAAGGCGATCCCCACCCCTTGCCACCATGTTGCAAAAACAATGGCCTTGAAGCTAATAAATTTTGCTAGCGGTTTTATTGACTGGAGTTTATGGTGAGTCGCATTATAAAATTGGACGAGACAAAACAGTGCCCACATTTGGCTGAAGTTTAGCACCACAGTAATATAAGGGTATCTGCAAGAAGCAATAAGCAGACTAGTGACGAATCTGAGTCCAAAAACAGCAAAATATAGCTACCAGAAAAAATCGCTGCTACAATAATGTAGTGATGACCCTAATGGTATTTAATTACGCGGCTATATGTTGTGCTTGATATGTGTAATCCGTTCTCATACTTTAAAATTTTATACAATATGTAAAAGCTAAATGGAGAAAATGATGTACCCATAGTGCCATTTGAACTCTCCATCGCCATATACCCCAAATATCTCCATAATGAGAGCTAGGAATGCACAGGTTGTCTTCAAAATCATCTGTGGAACACAACGGTATTAGTATGAAGATAACGAATACATCAACGTACTTATGAAACTTTGTACCCTTTTACATACATATTGTACAAGACCAAATTTTTCTATAGTAAACAAGTTCTTCCCCACGACACATGGGTGGAAAATGAAGTTATACAACGTTCTTTTTTGTGTCACAGGTTTCTCCTCTCCTCCTAGCAACGACTGACTGATTTGTTTCCTTCTTTCATCTTCGAGCAGTTCAACGACCTCTCGCTCACCCCCTGCCACACATCCATTTCCCAGTAAATCAACTATATTTAATAGCTTGTATTATGCAAGTTATATTCCATTTTTTAAAGGATTTTGTAGACATGCATGTATGAGAAGTAGACCCCACAAAATTAAAAGCAGTCCCTTAACATGCTAAGTAAGTGAAACTCTTTGTCGTCGAAAGTAACAAGGGAAAGCTTGACTATCACCACAGCAAAAATATCAAACATTTTAGATCTTGGTTCACTGTTATACCAGGCTCTGGTTATACAAAAGACAGTTAGGAAGTTCTTAAGCTATTTTTTGTGTTTAGAGATCATGCTTACCAAGGCAAGCGATCAAGTAACTGCCAAAAGAATAGAGTGCAAACGCTTCATAACAGTTCCTCAATATGTCGCAGGCAAGGGACAATTTTGGGTTCCACAAGGATAAAATCTGGAAAAGACAAGAAAACCAATTCGTTCAATTCTCATCGGGAATTTGCAGTTATCGGTTTAGAAACTTTCCATCAGCTTTAAGTTTGAAACATAAAAGGAGCATTCTTTTCACAATTGCTTTAATCAATCAGTTTAAACATGTATATTGCATAGAAAAGATAGTGTGCATTTCCTTGATACGTATCTCAATTAAGAATTCGGAAATCAGAGTGCATTTTTTCCTTACTGATTCAGTTGCATAGACAGGAACCATGAAAAGGACCCCCACGATCCATTTTTGTTCCTGATAAGAAAGCAAAATTAAGATCCACCCGTTCTAGGAAATAAGAATTAATTCTCCATGTATACACCTAAATTGAGTACTCACCGCTGGATTGGTATAGTATCTGAGATGCTGAAATATTGACAAAAGAGAGAGAATTAATGCGACCAAGACAAAGCATCCAGCAATTACGAGAGCAGGTTCGTGGAGATCTCTATACATGTTCACATAGAGAGAGATGTAAAATGATGCCATGCCACATGATCTCAGTTGCAATGCTCTCTAAAACTTTTAAAAAGCACGAATCAAACCTGAAAACAACAGCGCAGTTAGCTTGACATTGTTAAAGCCTAATCAAGGATATGGTCAGAGGGAAAAAATCACTTCAGGAAAGTCTGGTAATCTTGTTATCAGTTGATGATCAAATATTAGCTACTAGAAAGTAGAATGCTAGAAGCCAGTCAAAGGTTTGCATTACAACAACAACAACAAACCCAGTGTAATCTCACAAGTGGGGTCTGGGGAGGGTAGTTTGTACGCGGCCTTACCCCTACCTTGTGTAGATAGAGAGGCTGTTTCCGATAGACCCTCGGCTCAGGTGAAGCATAGAAAGGTTTGCATTATTAGCATAATTTTCAGGTGTTACCAAGTCCATATATTTTTTGAGTTTAAGGTCATTAAACGTACATAAGACCAGAGGCAGATGCACACTATACTTAGAGGGGTCACCGGCACCCGGAAACTTCGACAAAAACTCCATGTATACTTGTAAATGTCTAGCATAGGCCCCCGTACCAATCTGTAAGAGCAGTGAGAAATTTATATTGAATATCATGGTGTCCCGCTACCACCGAATCCTGGGTCCGCCTCTGCATAAGACCCTATAACTTTCACTTCTTTTCCCCTGCTTTCCAGCCCTTTCTCAGTCCTTACATGACACTCTATTAATTTTACCTGAAGCAGGAGGCTGAGGTTGAAGAAATGCGAAACGCAGCTGATCGTAAACAAGCTCAATAGTACATGTGAACATCTTGTATGGACAATGAGAGGTGGAGCCAGAATTCTAACAAGGGGAGTCAAAAGGAAACGCAAAAATGCCTCAATGAGGTTCAGACTTGCAATCTAAAGTAACTTTTTAGCCAACTATACCACTACACTAGAAGCTTTCCTTATGTCGACAGGATTCAACAATTTACATATATACAAAAAAGAACTGCTTTTATCCTGGTTGCAATTATAAATTCCGATAAAGGAGTTTCATTTAAACCCCTTCGGACCATGTGAGCAATGAACTGCTGACAAGTGCATCTTGAAAAACATTACATTATATATCCTAATTAAGGGTGATATTCCTACTTTCCCCCAATAATTAATCTACAGTTCCAACCCTAAAAGAAGACTAAACTGGTAGTATTAATCATAACCATAAATTTCACAATTCAGTTTTCAGACCAGCTTTTAGTTTACCCCATATAAATGGGAAGACCAATATAAAGTTCTAAACTTGGAAACTGGAAAGCACAATTAGCACTTGCAATAATAAGGTAAAGAAAAAACCAGATTTGAGAACAGAGAAACATGCAAGTAATAACTAGCTAGTTACGTACTACTACTTCTTTGCATCCAACTGATCAACAAATTCTGATAACAAACAGGGGCGTAGCCACATAGTGTGACGGGAAAATTATACTGAATATATATATAAGTCAAAAATATTAATTTTTATAAATGTATATTAAATTTTGAACACCTATTAAAAAATTTATGGCCCTGCCACTGATAATAAACGCCAGAAAAAAACACAACACACTTACAGCTTGTTTGGATGGTTGTTACGTATCGTTTCATAATGTATCGTATCGTACTGTATTGTATTGTACTATATCGTTTGATAAATACAATGTCTGGATAGATTGTGTCGTTTGCAATCGTTTTGATTATATCACACACCAGCAATATGAAAAATAAACTTGTAATATTATAAAGAAAAATTATGACACAGGGTAAAATTACTATATAAAAAAGTAGGGTAAATGATAAAATAAAATTATTTAATAATAATGAAGGGTGAGATTGAGATAAAAAGACAAGGTAACGATGCGACCACACCAAATCGATCGTTACATAAAGTGGCATATCGTTATGTAACGATACATTTAACGATACGATACAATAAAATTTAAGTAACAATCAAAACAAATATTATATTTAAAGTAACAATACGATACAATATAATAGGTAACAACCATCCAAACAAGTTGTTACAGACCCGACATATAAAAAAAGAAAAAGAGAAAGATCCCAAGATTCATAATCATGCCTGTAAAATGAGAGTTCTGCTTATTTCGGCAAGAGATCCGTCTTAAAACTTCAGTAGCCAAAATGGATTTTAAGATTCGAACATTTCTTCTAAATTACGGCAGATAGAAACTACATAGTACTACTAAAATTCTGTTTGTTATTTTAGGATATGCACACAAATACTTTGGAGGAGCAGCTACATAACAGTTTTTGTTCGTTTACTTCATAGTTGGACACGTAGCAGTTAGTTTTACAATGGGGAAGGTGACTCGCCTAGGAAGTGCTAGATGGGCCACTGGGCCACCCGAATTAATATATTGGGCTTTTGCTTTCTCATTTGAATTGGACTGCAGCAGTTTCTCTTGACGATCTCAGGCCTTTTAGCAGTTTTCTTCATGGGCCTTTTAGTTGTTAATGATGTAAAAATAACATATGCTAACCAGTTTTCGGGCTGGTAACTGAAAAATAGCCAGCATTTACAAATTCATTAAAAAATAGCTACTATTTTGTTGCAACACGGAAAGTTCCAGCATAATATACTGAAAATTGGTGCACCTGTGTATGAAATATGCTGGAACTCCAGCACACGGAAAGTTCCAGCATAATATACTGGAGATTGGAGCACCTGTGTATGAACTTCCAGCATATTATGTTGGATCAGTATATTATGCTGGAACTCCAGTATATTATGCTGAAAGTTCACATGTAAAAAATTTGAACTCCAGTATATTATGCTGGAATATTTTCCGGATTTTGAACAGTGTTTTCATTCAGATTTATCTTTACATGAAAAGTGGCTAAATTTCGATTACTTTTGAAACTGTAGCTATTTTTCAATTACCACTTGTAAATCTGGCTATTTTTGAATTTCACCCGTTAATGATTGTTATTTGCATTGGTTGGTCACTTTTGTTGCCTTATATCGAAAAGTTGGTCACTATTTTGCTAAAAGAAGACCTAAAAAGTTCAACACCAAATCGCTTAAACTAAAAATTACCAGTGGATGTATAATATGTATATAACCATATATGATCAATGTATATTATATTTATACCGGCTATGAAAAGTAAACAGTGAATTCGGCCTGCTATTTGTGTAAAAGTTGCTTTTTACAATCAGATTAGTGGTCTAGACTCTGGAGTCTCTTCTCCAGACCTCGCGCATAACAAGAGCTAAGTACACCGTATTGCCCCTTAAACTTTAGAGTTTAGACCGGTGAACATTATCGAACTTTATACTACTTATCTAAGAAAAGGACAAACTTCAAATTAGTGGTTGTGGGTTTAGATTAAGAATAACTTTGCATTTAAATGACTCCTTCCACATTTGAGTCATTTGGAAATTAGCACATTATAAAATCCAATAATTTCAAGTACACAAACAACCATTCTTATGGCTTCTATTTAGGGATTAATCAGTAGTTATTTTAAATTTTTGTCCTAAAAATTTGAACTTAAATCTTAATAATTTCAAGATAATTCGAGATATTTGTGTAGGAAAAAATTAAATTAAAAAACTAAAATACAGATTACATTAGGAAAATCATAAATATCAGCCATTTAAAGTGACTACCCGGTGTTATTTCTACGAAGATACATACCAACAAAATCCTTAAATAAAGGTAGGCAAGCTTTCATACTTGGTTTTCATTCCAAGGACAATATTATAATGCTAAGCAATTAAATTACAACCAATGGATTATTGAGGTCTAACATTAATATTGATAGGAAGACAACTCTTCTTGAAATCCTAAATTGTCTCACACTATTGAAGGTGTCTACTCTCCAATGTATGACTGAGTTGTGAAACTTTCCTTTTTGGGAAAGTCATGTGTAGGGTTTCCATATTTAGTGATGAATCCCTTCTAATTCCTAGACTAATAGCTGTCGTACAGTGAAGAAACCTTACGCAGATTCCTATGCTAAAATTTCGTTATGAACATTCTCTCCTGTTTAAAGTTTGTTCACCTTTCTGGAGACCCTACTTCTTTGCCATTTGACTAAATCACCAAAAAATTCACTAAATTTTTTTTATCACGTGGCTAGAATTTCTTTTACGTTGTTATTTATTTATCATTATATTTTAACATGTTATAATAGCTAATAAGTCTGTTTAACTTATGGACTGGTTGTATAAAGATTCTTTTACACTAATAAAGTAGTTTAGTCAGTGATATATTAGGTTAATTATCATTTTTATTAGGTAAGTTTACCCGCACAACTAGTTAGCTTATGCGTGATTAGATTATACAAATATGTTTTTCATAAAACTTGAACTTTTAACTTATATACATCTATTGCTATTTTGCTGGTGTTATTGTTTACTGCTTCTTTTTTATTTTTTCTTGCGTCGAGGGTCTATCGAAAATAACTTCTCTACCTTCTCAAGGTAGGGGTACACACACTACCCTCCCAAGATCCACTTGTGGGATCACACTGGGTTTATTATTGTCGTTGTTGTTGTTGTTACACTATCAAGTGTATTTTTCATCAGCTGTTGTTCCAGGTTAAAAATTTCACTTTCTTATGAATTGTTAATTGTAATTATCTTTTAAGTAAATAGGGTAAAAATTAATAAATTCCTCGACCCTAAGTCAACAAAAGTTTCAGTAAGATCTGTGTGGATATCGAGATTATCTTCGGAAAACTCGATCGGTCTGCCATTCAGAAGCAAACTATCTTTACTGATCATTTGTGTATAATTTATATTTTAAAAAAAATTATTGTTAGTTTTTTTGTATGTAGATGGTAATTACTAACTTCAAACTCTTCGATACTTGTAATTATGTGATATATATATGACTTGAAAAATCTATTATTCTTGTTTGATTACTTCTAAGTATGCTAATTTAACCACATTTGATTTGAGGATTATATATGTGTCATTTCAGCATTGCACGAGAATGTTCATGGACCACAAACTATACATGGTTTGTTATGTAAATTACTAGAAAACTAAAACTTATTATATATTAATTAATTACTTGTTAAGTGCAATATATATATAGGACCACCAACTGAATAAGCCATGCATGAGTAACATTTGCTGCAGAATGATTGGATCTTTAAGCATATTTATGTAACGTCATTAGTCTCTAGTTTAGGTGATGATCATTTAATTTAAACTCCAAATAATTAAATTATATATATTATCAGCGTAAAAACTATTTATACGATCAAATCATTTATAAAGAAATTATAAATAAGTTTTCGTGTGAAAAATAAAGGGAAGCCAGATAGAAATTGCATAAAACATATTATAATATGTTAAAGACTACACGGATTGTATTAAAAAATTTATACACTATCAATTTTATAACTTAAATTGTATAAAACTTTAATCTGAAATCTTATAGTAGAATGAGCTGTTCATTGGAGTAAGGATACGGATTTACTTGAGCGAGAAACATTTGCATAGAAGGAATAATTGGAAAAGTAAGCAACTTGTCACATTTTAAACTGAGATTATAAAAAGTGATGAATGTTAAGCTCTCTATTTCAAATTAGACGAGATATTTTTTTTTTTAATTTGTTCCAAAATAAATGATATATTTTTAAATTTGGAAATAATTCAACTTTAAACTCTTCATTATTTTACTCATTTTAATAATCACACAAATATCATGGCCCCATAAAGCTTTTACTACTTAAGCTTTTAAGACCACAAGTTTCAAAAAATTTCTTTTTTTTTTTTAAACTCCGTGCTAAGTCAAACTATTCCATCTAAATTAAAAAGGATGGAGTAATATATACCAATGATTTTATTTTTACTAATGCCCTGGAACCTAAACATAGAAAAGAGAGTCCTTTGACCTTTAAGTATTTGACTCCTTTGACATTTCACACGTGTTATTTGGATAATGTTACGATCAAAATTCATCAAATTTTTGTTCTTTGACACGTAGGGTTGAGTTCTCAAATAGCACGATAAGTAGGAAAGTCCCTTGATATATAAGTCTTAAATCTATATCTGTAAAAATGGCAATGACCCATGTGGTATGGACAACTTCACGTGTTTGGGTGACTTTTTTGGGGAGTCCCTAGTAAAAATTGGCAATCCTTTGTGAGATTTTTTGACAAAATTATGCTAGAATTGATGAAGGTAAAGGAAGTGGAAGATAAAAGAGGGAAGGATACGTAAGGGCGTCGAGTGTGCGAACAAAATTTTATATTATAAGTTGATTAAAACTAAGAAACTATATTAAAAAATGTAGGATATACACTCGTAACAGTCTAAGAATTTTCGGGAAAAAATTATGTTGTTTTAACATGTACAAAGTCGATAATATCACAACATTAAGAGTATTTCTGGATTGATTTAGTAGTAATATGATGTTCTCCAAATCTTTATGTTATAGACTAGCTAGTTATGTAGATAACCTCTCGTATGAAACAGTAACACCATATCGAGAATGTTTAAGTAAATAAAAGTATGTTAGATCAAATGATCACACACTTCAATATAGTATAAGAGCAACACATCGATAAGTCCTCGATTCGAATCTCTCCACTATCCAGTTCCAAGAAAAAAATTTCATGTATATTAAGCTCATGAAAAAGAATCAAGCTTACACGTAAGGACGTACTTCTCGAGCATTTGCAAGGTGACCTTCCAATCAAAAGTTTGAGCAATCAATATTTTGTTCATCTCAATTTTAGACTACAATATATCCTTGTGGTCCGACCCTTTTTTGGATCTCGCGCCTATCGGGAGTTTAGTGCACGGAACTATCTTTTTTTTAGCACCAGTAGCATAGTTTGCTTGTATATGAACGAGGATATAGAAAAAGTATTTTAGGAAACTATTGATGATTTATATTAGAGTATGTGTCATCCCTATCGTGTCTTTGCATGTCAAGTCAAATTGTTTAGGTGATGAAAAAATTCTGGAAAAAACCAGGGGGTTCGGTTAGTGAGGGACATCCCCACGAGGACATGGCCTGCATTTTTCAACTAAACCAATTTTTTCCCATACTACTTTTAGGTTTGCTTTTATGTTCTTTCTATTTCCAAATACTGTATAGACATGTCTACTTTAGTTTTGCCCATGAATCACTTTTTCCTTTCTAGAATTCTATAGATTATTATCCATCTTAGGACAAACAGAAAAATGCTGAATTTGACACACGTGAAATCTACTAATTGTAGACATGACACAATCCTGTCTTATACTAACTACACTTAAGGTTCAATGGCGGAGG